CTTCAAATACCTTTTTATTTAAAAATAAAGACAAACAGCCTTTTGGATAGAATTACACTATGGTATTTTTTTAAGAAAACTGCAAAAATTACTCTGTACAATAAAGCAAATACTACATACCTCATAATGATAGAATCATGAATCACAGAAAGTGATGAGAAGTTTTTACTTTCTTTCAGTACTGGGAAATGAATGATTGAATTCTAAACCTCACGTTCATGTATTTGAAGCTCCCTGTCACTTTCTAATGAAAAGTTTGTTACACATTTGCCAACATTAAAACTCAGACTCAAGGACATTAGAATTTGCCCTCAAAACAATGAAATATTATTTTGAAATTAAAATTTCCACTTTCAAACCATACTTACATTGGTTATTTCCCTCTCAATCAGCTTGTTCTCCTTAACCACACACTGAATGTATAAATATAGCTTTTAAGGTATAACTGGCATTACAAAATTTATATAAAATGTAATCTCATTATGAAAAATACTATACCAATAGTCAATTTTTCAATATCAGAAAATTACCAAATACAGAAGAAACTACTCAGTGTAGTGATACAAGATACTAGAGCGTAAAAGAACATCCCTTAAGTTTTAATGTAAGACTAGTGAAAAGAAACGAATTGGGGACCACTCTGTTATCAGTAGTGAATGGAAAATATTTAATGTGTGTAACAAACCATTGGATCACCACTTTCTATTCACTGTCCTTAAAAATCCTGGCTTTTACGTTAATACCTAAAGTGTCTGCGTTTCCTCGCCATGTTTAAAAGAATCATTTTTGTAAGTTATACCTCATGACTCTTCTAAGAAATAGTGTTTTAGGGAAAGACTTTTCTGATTAGCACGCATTACCTGTTGCTTTCTATGTAGGCAGAGTTATTAAGCATACTGCATGCACAAAATTGCAGCAGCTGTGGATAAGCTCAACACAAACAGTGAATTAATTAATAATTTTGAATGTTAAGAGACAGCCCCTGGGAAGCCGCCCAAGACATTTTTATCCAAAAGCTGTATGACTGCTATATTATTAATTAAAATTTGGGAAAAGTGCCAAAGATATGCAAGAAACTAAAGAGCAGTTACTCACAACCTAATAGAGTGGAGAAAGTAGAAGCTAGCCTACAAACAGACTATCAAGGAAAGAAGAATTAAGAAGTGAAAGAAAGAGACGTAAGGGCATTCTGAAATTACAGAAAAAGAAGAAAAACAGACATACAAAATCAAGGAATGATTAATTATTTTAGAAGCGAGTTACTGTCATGAATAAAATCAATCACATTTAGGTCAAACTATGTAGACAGAGAAGCAGAACAGTATCTAAAGGAGAGAGATGATAGTCTTTCTCTTCATTTAAGCCAGTGCCACTTTAAAAAGATTTCAGACAAACTGGGCAAACTTCATATTGCAGACTGTATTTGAACTCTCTTCTTCCATGATGCTGGAGACAAAATATTATTGTATTTTTTTGCTTGACACCATAAGTGTATTTTTAAAAAAAGAGCAAATCAAGGGCTTTTGATGATCTACCCAACTATCATTTGGTTTCCAATTCTTTTCAGTTTTCTATTTCTTCTCAGTTTTTATTTTGAATTCACAGACAGATGTTATCATATCTATTTTCTGTTTCAGGTATAGATGACTCTTTTCTTCTGTTCTTCTTTCTTCCATAATTCTTTCTTCTCTGTGGGTATCCCCCAAACCTATTGCTGACAAACTTATCTTCAGTCTGGAGAGCTCTTATACAAGGCACCAGAAGAAGCATCTTTCTTTGTGACACTGGTGTTGAGCAGCTGCCTGGCTAACATTGTAAAATGTAAATGTGGAAGCATAAACTGCCCCATCAAAATCTAACTCAAGGTTATTAAAGTTTAAGTAACTTGAGAGGTTACTTAAATTATTCAAATAGCCTACCAGCATCAATGTGCAAGAATAAATTTTGTTTGCAACATGTTCCATTCATGACATTACCTCCCAACTCTCTCTTTTAATTGAACATTTGCATCTTTAAATACATATATAAAAAAATCAGCTAGCAAGCTAATTAATGAATATTAACAACTGTTCAAGTAGTGCATCTTAGACTCACATCTTGCCTATGTCTGACACACTCTTTTTCTGATGGGATGAATGACTTTCTGTAGGTCTCCCATTTCAGGGAGACTGCAGAAGGTACCTTGATGACAAGGTCAGACTGGACCCAGAACTTGTACGTACTACTTGCACTGAAATGTAAATCAGCCCAGTAGTGCTCTGCTACTTACAAAGGCATCTATTTGAGGCATTACTTGAGCAGCTAGGAACATTATCTTTTACCATATTATTGAACTTTTATCCAGATAAAATCAGTATTTGTAGTCTGATATTTCAGTTTCCATGTTGCTACTGCTAGTTTGCAATGGTTAAGGGAAACTGTAACAGCACTTTAACCTTCACCTGGGCAGATATTCCAGATAAACGGGTTCTGGCTGTGCAGAAATTAAGACTAACCTGCTAGGATGATATCCACCAAGGAACAGACTTCTTGAAGTTTTTCTACCTCAGAGATAGCAGAGGGGAAGTCTGATGTATAAACTTCTTACTAGCCACTCAGGAGAACCTTATCACAGTTTACAAGCTGAATACAACTTGCCATATCATAACTTTAATGTGTATTTAATCTTATTTTACAATACATTATTATAAACAAATTTTCTTAATACAAGTCTATTAAAATCTTCATGAATGGATTCTGAAAATATTTAAGTGAGAGACATAATGCTAAAGGTATATTTAACATAAGAAGATTTACATAATGCTCCCTTTGATGGTCAGAGGGTCTACTGAACATCTTTACCATGATTTAAAGCTCAACTCATGCCAGCATTCACTGCTCTTCCTTGGGATGTAAGGTGACATACAAAAGCTGCTATGAGGTAGGCGGTCTGAAGAAGGACACTTTGTTGGCTTACTATTTTGTCTGCTTTAAAGAATAAACTGAACTCCACTTTGAGGATGAAGCTTCCACATTATTGTCACTGTCACGTCAAATTTTACCTCCTGATCACATACCCTGTGTGGCTGGCATGCAGATGCAGGGAATCTTCTAGTGCAGCTGTCTCTAAGCTCTGCTGAAGACAGTGCATGCTGCTCTGTAATATACTGTCAAAGCCTGTTTACCTGCTGTGCATATTGCTGCAGGTCAGCAGGTGCTTCACCTCTGCTTTTATTCATGCAAATCTCTTATGCTTCCCGTAACTTTAAACATGTTTTTTAAAATGTGCAGCTACCAAGCTATGTATGAAGCCACTTATTAGCAATTCTTTGTCATGTATCAATTTCTGTTTCTACCCTTAGTTCTGATCTGAGATATTTTCATCTTCTTAGATGCAAGTCTGGCCCAAACTCTTGCTAAAAAAAAAAACCACCCAACTAAATACTGTTTTTGTATTTTCTATGCACTTCAAGGAAACAAGATAACTGCTTGAGTAAATGTACAGGCAGAAAGAACCAGAACTGAATACGGTGTTTTGTCTGTATTTCGGATGTATTAATAGAACTGCATTAACTCCCTCCTGTGTTAACTTTAAGGTCCTGGCTACCTGTAGTTACTAAATTAAATTTTAAAATCAGTTTTTCAAATTTCATTAAAATATAATTTCTTTTTAACTGAAATTAAAAAATAAGTAATTCAAACTTTGTTCCAATATAGCTATTACCCTTCTCCTACTGGTGTTAGATAGATATATATTAGCATGCACAAATCCAGAAAATTAAATGCACATATCTGGGCAAGACGCACCTATGTCCATATAGGACTGAGGAAAGTGGTGTCCTGGTGTCTCTCATGACAAGTGGAGATAATAAAGCTACACTTTCTTAATGTGGTGTCAGTGAAGAACATCCATTTCAATCCTATGGCTAGAGAAAGACAGATGTAGTACTTGTGTGAAAATAATTCTAAGGACAATTCTGTTAGGACTGTGAAAATGACAGTTCCCTTAACAGGACTGAGTTAAAGCCAAACAAACATCTGATTGTTGCTTTGAATACCAGTTGATTGACTGCTGTTATAAGCCATTTAATGGGACTCATATTCAAAAGACAGCTGAAAGACTGTCTGTCTCATTTTAGCATTCTGAGACATCAGTAACAAGACAAGTTCAAGAATAAGGATTTAAACAAATGTTTTGAAAAAACATTGTCAGTATCTACCAAACACAGCACTAATCAGCTTTTATTTAAATGAGTTGTTTACCAAATTCCTTAATCAGATACATATTCCAAAATATTCTTATATATATTTGTGAACAGTGGAGCCTCAATTTCACCTAAAAGAGAAATTTCATACCACATTATATAATCTTGTAATTTCCCTTTCTTTAAACATTTGGATGCACGTAACTAATATCTGAATGTACAAACATGAACAGAAGACATTAGTTATATACACAAATATAAACATGAGACATGCATAACAAGGTCATAAATATGACAATATATTTAGATAGATACATATAAATATATCTCACTTTGGTTTGGACTGGTCTGGATTTTGCAATAGTGTTGACACTAAACAAATATGCTACACCTTTTTTAAATCTGTACTGCTTTTGATTTGTTTTGTAACAGTCTACCTCAGCTAAATAAAGGTGGCCCACACAAAAGCATGAATAGCAACTGGCATTTTCAAGTGCCTAAGGTGTTTAAAGTGTTGTATAAGTATCTAATCACAAGTCCTCAAAACAGTCCTCAAGGCGCGTGAGCACTTCCACCAGCAATACTGCAGCACACGAAAATGAGTTACCTCAAGGCAGAAACCAAATCATCACCAAAGCCCTACATGGACACCGGGAAGCAGCACCAACTTTGTCTCCACAATGGTGTTTTATAGCATTAAGAATGAAATTATTCAGACTTGCAAAATAGCTGAAAAACAGCAGGTGAGGCACCAAGTTATAAATTGGTTATACAAAGTATAACCAGGTAAAACCTGCTTATTAATCAGGCAGATTTTTTAAATTTCTTTCCTATAATTAAAGGATCCATACAAGAACAGATGTTCTCTTTTTCTTAAGTAGGTCACAGTTAAGACTTCGCTTTATTAAGATTTATGAAGACTGTCCATATTCTTGTTGAGATGGAGCTATTGCTCATTGAAAACACACCAAATACAGTTTTGTTCTATTTCTAAAGAAAAAAAAACAAAGTTAAGTCTTCACATGAACTTTTTGTATGTATTTCAGTATCTCATTGTCTTCCAACACCATTACATTCAACCTTTGACATGACTGCAGAAAAAAATTATCCCCAAAACATAACACCCAAGCTGTACCAATATAAAGAATTAAAAATACAAACTGACCACCAAAACCATGACCTGTTCCTGGCTATAAATCTTGTCTTTTAAGACTCACCTCTAACATGAAATATATAAAGAATGAGCCTAATTAGGACAAGTGAAAAAAGCAATTAATACAAAAACTCTTGCATTTTGCTGTATTGCTACTATTACATCTTCCCATGTTGTCTGATTTCTTAAAAATCTGCAGGTATAGGAGTGGCATTTGTAAAGATATTCCAAACACATTACACAATAGATTTCTAGATTCAAAGGGGCGACTGCATTTAAGAAAAAGTCCTCAACATTCTCGTTATTCCACTTAGCATTTTAACTCATGTTCTTATTATGATCAATAGCAGCCCCAAGATCCACTACCAGCTAAGTGGGAACTAACCATCACAGAGGCATTTATTGTACAAGCCATTTTGCCATAGTCTCTCAGTCCACAGACCTCCCATGTTTACCACCTGAAGTTCCAGCTATACACAACTTGTGACGGAAATGAATATTAATCATAGGGGTGTGAAGCTTCTGTTCAAATAAAGCAGTAGGACACAACTGTGATTTCTAGCATTGTACTGATCTAGGCAAGGTGTCTGTACAATATTTAAAGTCCTGATGGGATGCTGAATGGGTCTTATGAAATCTGTTGTATCACTGAAATCTCTCTGTACATGAATATAGTCCAAGTAAGGTCACATCTCTGCCAAGTCAGAGACATTTCACCTAGCATTAATCATCTTTAATTATGGCATCTAATCCAACTTAGTCACACAGGCTGCCTTCATAGTAAACAGAGAGATGAGCAGCTCCGGAAAATGATCCATCTAACTTACCTTAAACACTCATTTTAGAATGAGAAATGGAAATGGATTCTGGAGATGGATAGCTGAACATAAACTTTAGCTGTCAGCAAGAAGCAGTGCAGAGTGTCCCTGGAGGGCCAGGGTTGAAGGACAGACTTCTGTCAGACTGTATGGGTATTATTACAAGAATCGCCTAACACAGACTTCAGAAAAAAAATGGCTTTTCAGGCATACAACTTAGAGACATAATGATATAAGAAAAAATTAAGATGTACTTACCAAAAACAATAGAGGACTCACAGTAGTAGTAACCATTTGGTTGCTTTTTTTTCAACATGGAGCAAAGATCTAAGCGATGCAGGATTTCATTTCCAAAATAATGGCTTTTAAAATCTTCATACAGGCTTGGGTCAATTTTTTTCACCTTTAAATAGCAACATAAAATTCAAGTAGGCATTTGACTAGAAAACTGAGTTTTCGTATTTAATTCCTATAGTTTTCATTTTAACCAGAGGCATAGGTAAGATGGAAAACTACCTCAAGAAGCAAAATAATACTGAAACAATAATGTGTCAAATCTTATGTTTAAGTACTGTCCACCGTAGAATTAACAATATGAAATGAAAGTGTCATTCTACCTCCTTTCTACCCCTCCCTCCTCAGTCCTGTAGGAAACAAATTTTCTGCTTTAACTTCCAATGGACCATGTAACTGGAAATTATTCTTGCTGTCATCACTGGACATGCGACCAGAAGGAAGAATCTCAAATGCTTGTGAAGGCCATTTTTCTGGGTCTTTAAAATCACCAAGCAGGATAAATACAACCAAAATGTGATTGTATTTAACTTGCACTAGACTTTATCTCAACAAATCTAAAAATATACAGTGATTTATAATATCAGTATAATTATGTAGTTTTGTATATATGAAGTGGAACATAATAAATATTCTATTAAGCTGTTTTCGGTAAACCTAACTTCAGTATTTATTTTAAGAGTGTAGGGCTCCTTCTTCCATCATATTTTCATTAAAAATACATGATCTCTGTAGAAATTAAGCATTTTCTCCTTCAATCTACTTCACAGTAATGCTGTTTGCTTTTTAAAGACTTACTACATGCTACGGGATGTTAGGAGTGACCACTGCCTCCAGCAGCTCCAGCCCAGGCTGTGTCAAACTACTGCACCCATCAGTCCCATTTTACACAGGACCAGCCCCTTTTACAGACAGTTCTGTCCACTCCTCATTTGTTCCTCCCCATCCCCTTCCCCTGTACATGCCACATCCATTTGCAAGTACCCTGAATCCTCAACTTTACATCCCCAACAGCTGCAAAGTCCTGTTTTGCCTGTGATTTACTGACAGTCCATCAGCGTGACTGATGAGGTCTGTTTCTTGGTTTTGTGCTGTTTGACAGGGTTTTGTCTCTCTATTTTGTTTATGGCTTCCCCTTCACCCTTACTGTCTTATTTGATAAGGTCCGCAACCAGACAACCCGACAGTAATAAACATCCCCACACTCCACATGCTCTCATCAGTCCATGTAGCAGACCAGCTCTGGCTCTTGTTATTGCCTCCCTCATTGTATGTCGGTCAGGTTTGTGTCACTATATATGCTGTTTAAGGTCTCCTCCTTTTCTTATTATCCCCTCCTGCACTTAAAAGGTCCTTTGCCAGTCACCCTAAAGGGTACAGATGCTGTCTCCTTCCTCATACCCTTACACTATATCCTGTGTGGGAGGAACAGAATACCTAGCAAGGCCACAGTTCTGGATTTCCGAAGGGCCAACTTTGGCCTCTTCAATCAATTGCTAAGGGAAGTCTCATGGGAAAGGGTACTAGGTGGTAAAGGGGCTCAAGATAGTTGGTCAGCATTCAAGCACCACTTCCTCCAAGCTCAGGATCAGAGTATCCCAATGGGTAGGAAGTCAAGTAGGGGAGCCAGGAGACCAGCATGGTTAAACAAGGAACTGCTGGGCAAACTCATGCAGAAAAAGAGAATCTATGGATTATGGAAGGAGGGGCTGGCCACTTGGGAGGAATATAGGACAGTTGTTAGAGGATGTAGGGAGGCAATTAGGACAGCTAAGGCCTCCTTGGAACTTAATCTGGCATGTCAGGTTAAGGACAATAGAAAGGGCTTCTTCAAATACATACCGGATAAAACTAACACAAGAGGCAATATAGGCCCGCTGCTGAATGAGGTGGGTCCCCTGGAGACAGAGGATATAAAGAAGGCAGAGGTGCTGAATGCCTTCTTTGCCTCTGTCTTTATTCCTGCAGACTCTCCCCGGGGGACCCAGATTCCTATAGCCCCGAAAGGAGTCAGGTTAAAGGAGGAGTATGCTTTGGTGGATGAGGATTGGGTTAGGGATCAGTTAAGCAATCTGGACATCTATAAATCGATGCGTCCGGATGGAATACACCCACGGGTGCTGAGGGAGCTGGCAGAGGTCATTGCTGGGCCACTCTCCGTCATCTTTGGTAAGTCGTGGGAAACAGGAGAGGTGCCTGAGGATTGGAGGATGGCAAATGTCACGCCGATCTATAGGAAGGGCAAGGAGGAGGACCTGGGTAATTATAGACCAGTCAGCCTTACCTCCATCCCTGGAAAGGTGATGGAACAACTTATTCTTGACACCATCTCTAGGCATATCAAGGATGAGGGAGTCATTAAGAGCAGCCAACATGGCTTTACCAAGGGGAAGTCATATTTGACCAACCTTATAGCCTTCTATGAGCAAGTAACTAGGTGGCTGGATGATGGTAGAGCGGTAGATGTGGTTTTTCTTGATTTCAGTAAGGCATTTGATATTGTCTCCCACAGCATCCTCATAGATAAACTAAGGAAGTGTGGGCTTGATGATCAGGTAGTGAGGTGGATCAAGAACTGGTTGGAAGGAAGAAGGCAGAGAGTTGTGGTCAATGGGGCAGAATCTAGCTGGAGGTCTGTGACTAGTGGAGTCCCTCAGGGGTCGGTGATGGGACCAATGCTGTTTAATATTTTCATCAACGACCTGGATGAGGGAACTGAGTGTACCGTCAGCAAGTTTGCTGATGATACTAAACTGGGAGGAGTGGCTGACACACCAGAGGGCTGTGTTGCCATTCAGTGAGACCTGGACAGGCTGGAGAGTTGGGCGGGGAGAAACTTGATGAAATTCAACAAGGGCAAGTGTAGAGTCTTGCATCTGGGGAAGAACAAGCCCATGTACCAGTACAGGTTGGGGGCTGACCTGCTGGACAGTAGTGAAGGGGAAAGGGACCTGGGGGTCCTGGTGGATAGGAGGATGACCATGAGCCAGCAATGTGCCCTTGGGGCCAAGAAGGCCAATGGCATCCTAGGGTGCATTAGAAAGGTGTGGTTAGTAGGTCAAGAGAGGTTCTCCTCCCCCTCTACTCTGCCTTGGTGAGGCCACATCTGGAATATTGTGTCCAGTTCTGGGCCCCTCAGTTCAAGAAGGACAGGGAATTGCTTGAAAGAGTCCAGCACAGAGCTACAAAGATGATTAAGGGAGTGGAACATCTCCCTTATGAGGAGAGGCTGAGGGAGCTGGGACTCTTTAGCTTGGAGGAGACTGAGGGGTGACCTCATCAATGTTTACAAATACGTAAAGGGTGAGTGTCAGGATGATGGAGCTAGGTTTTTCAGTGATGTCCAGTGATAGGACAAGGGGCAGTGGGTGTAAACTGGAGCACAGGAGGTTCCATGTGAACATCAGGAAAAATTTCTTTACTGTGAGAATGACAGAGCACTGGAACAGGTTGCCCAGGGGGGTTGTGGAGTCTCCTACATTGGAGATATTCAAGGACCTCCTCGACAAGTTCCTGTGTGATGTACTCTAGGTTACCCTGCTCTTGCAGGAGGGTTGGACTAGATGATGTTTTGAGGTCCCTTCCAACCCTTGGGATTCTGTGATTTATCTGAACACTATCACACTCATGCATTTCTTGTGGTGCTTATTTACAGTTACTCTTATGCAAGATAGGCTCAGTGTTGTTACGTCTACGGGGCTTCTACTTAGGTACAAAATTACTGACTTCAGAGGCACTTTGAGTAAGTACCTGCCTATTTGTTCCTCTACTAATTTAGAAAGTCTAATTTAGAGACTTTTGGTCCCCTAAAGTCTAAGTTAGTGAAGGTCAGAAGTCTTTCCGTTTCCTTAATCTCTGAAACGGTGACATCTAGTGGTGGATGCTTTTTATTTCGGGTACACAATCTCGGAAGTACACACTTAACTCCATCCTCATTGCCACTATTTAAAATTTGATATTCTATGGCTAGATTAGTCCTTATGTACTCAACTTATTCTGACATTAAATCATCATTCTTTGCCTTTTTTGGCTGACTTTTTTTTTAAATATATTTATACACGCATTAGTAATAAAAAAGGCCTTTTCAGGCAGCAGAACACTTGTCAAAAATGTGAAGCCTTGAGTAGCATGGAACAAAATGAGGAAAATACCAAAATCACTCCAATTAAAAAAAAAGATATTTATGAGAGGTTGGGATATTGCTTGTCAAAAACTGGCAAGGTGTGAATCAAATGCTGAATGCTCAGAAACTGAGTTATGCTTGTGATGTGTTGCTGAAAGGTATTTGGAAAAGCAGCCATGGCAAAACTGAGCTATTTTTAGTAACTCGGAGCAGTTTCTGGAGCACTGTTTGTAATGAGATGTGAAAGGATGAAGCAATGCAGGTGCACGGAGAAGTCACGGTTCATTTCTTAATTGAAAGGGTCTGGCACAGGACAGATGAAAGAGAGTTGCTGTTACCACATGGGAAAGCTATAGATGCTGATATGCTGTAGTTGGGGGAGGGTGAGAAACAAGAGTACTTGAGAGGCCACTGTGAAGCTGGAAAGGAGGAAGAAGACACCTGACTCTTGAGGAAATGTTGTAGTGAACGGATGCCTTTAAAGGGACATGGCTATGTAGCATGGGCCTGGAAAGGCATTATATATGGAGCTCTTGCAAGACTGGCAGGGTAGCAAGGAGACAGCATTTGGTAGCCCTGCCCTGCCTGTCTGAGCCTCTTCTGTGTGCAGGTAGGTAGGTGCAGCCTGCTGTCCCTGGCCTGCAGTTAAACCCTCCAACTGCATGGAGTGCCCAATAGCTGCTGACAGCAAGTGGCCAGTCAGTGTTCGTCCTTTCATGGGACCTGGGGCAGGAAGGCTCAAGTGGTGACAGGCCTTACAGAGCTGGAAAGTGAGACACCCAACATCCTCCTGCCAGCAGCTTCAGTTTCCATGTACCAGATGCCACAGCCAAAATTCCCAGCTTCAGCGCCACACATCCAGCTCTCTGAAGGCGAGGGCTGCACATGAAGATTCATTTAGAGTTGCTTGAAGTAGCTTGTTCAGTGAAGTACAGCAGCTGCAATGGCTGAAAAAGGAGAGCATTGGCAGGGACAGACACGGGTCC